GTGCTTGTCATCAGGCCAAAGAAATCTCTGTCTAATCTACACCTGGATGTCTGGTCAGAAGGAAAATGCACATGTTTTCAACCCAAATCTGTAGTTTTTGCTTGAACTCAAAAATGGTCTGAGTCCACTTCTGCTGTTTTACAGATCACATTATCTGCTTTGTCTATGACATGGATTTCAGTCCAGATTGGTAATACTAATGCATCCTAAACTTTTATGTCATTTTGTAAGATAATTCATATAGGCCTCAGAGGATTAAAAAGAGTCACAAAACTTGGATTCTCTAAACAGAGGTCAAAAGGACTCCAATTAAGTACAGCTTAAATTTTCCCCACTTGTCTATTCCTAAGGATGGTATTTTTCTCTCTCCTGGTCTTGGGACTCCTGCCCTTCCCAATTACTCAGATTATGGGCCTGAAACTTCCAAATAAGTTCACAAATTTTAACTTCTGTTCCTAGTTTAAATTTGTCTCAACAGGTTTCCACTTGGCTGGCAGTCACCTCCAAGCTTCAGTTGCTGATTACACTGCCCCAATGACTATGGTCTCTGGACTTGTGGAGAGCAGATGTGGACCAGCCCAGCCAATGTGATTGATCCCTGTCTCAACAGCTGGGTCAGATAACCACAAGCTCCTGACAAATGCCCCATTGCCCAGCCTTTGACTAGCCTTTTGACATTTCTGGGCGTTGACAACAACACCCCAGTGTCAGCTCGAAGCAGTTCCAAAAGAGAATAGGATGTCTCATGCTCCCTGCCCAAAATAGATTGAAATTCTGGGTCAAAAAGAAACTCCCTGGCATAGGGGACAAAAAGGCTCACTATATGACCATTGACATACCAGGAAAATAGGTTCAGAATTGTCAATTGATGAATTTATTAACTAAAATGGTTCTGCAGTAAGACACTTGATCTTCTTTCTGCAGAACCGAAGAGGTATTTTATGGCCTCACATGTATACAAAAGCCCCACGTGGGCACACCACAGCCCCAGGCTGCTCTTCCACAGAAAGTGCCCCTCCCCCTGTGAAAGCATCATGGCTCCAGGTCCCAGTCACTGCTGTTGGGTGAAACAGGGTTGGCATTACAGGAGACTGATTACAGCATCCTGGAGAGAAATCATCCCACAGCAGGGCCCCTATGGGGGTTCAACAGAGAACTTGAAACTAGAACAGAGCCCATGACTTGGGATTCAGGGTCCAGCAGGTGGCAGCAGTGAGGCTGAGCACAGGGAGCAGCTGGGATCCTGAAGGACCAACCAGACCCACTTGTGTTAAAAGGCTGGGGACCAGCAGCTGACACATGGCAGCCTCGTCAGGTCCAGCCCCTCCTTGGTGACTTAGAAATTATTGAAGTTTTACTCACAGACTCCAGACAGTAGGGCAAAGCCAGTAAGACCTGGAGGTGAGTACTCATGACCAGGAGGACACACTCTCAGACCTCACTGAGGATAAAGATGTGGTTCATCTAGTAGAGTACTTACCTGCCTGGCACACACAGAACCCTAGGATCAATATCTAGCCTGAGATAATGGGGCACAAATGTGGCACACCTGTCACACCTGTCACACTTGGGAGGACAGAGAAGAGGATCTGTAGGAGTTTAAGGTCATCCTTGGCTACATAACACGTTCAAGGCCCAGCTTGGGTTATATGAGACACCACCGCCCGCCAAAAGAAAGGAAAAAGAGCCCTTGGAAAAGTACAATAGCCTTGTCCCCTGTCCTGAATGACTGTAAAACTGTGGCCAATTCATCCTTAAGATTCTGTGCCTTGCTGGACGGTGTTGCACGCCTTTAATCCCAGCACTCGGGAGGCAGACGCAGGCAGATCTCTGTGAGTTTGAGGCCAGCACAGGCTACAGAGTGAGTTTGAGGACAGGCACCAAAACTACACAGAGAAACCCTGTCTTGAAAAACCAAAAAAAAAAAAAAAAAAAAAAGATTCTGTGCCATGGACAGGCCAAAGGTGCAATGAATATACAAATGTGTCCTTGGGCAGCTGGGAGTGAGGCTATGAGAGTTCGTGTCTGGCTCAGGTCAAGGGATCTGAGGACAATGGGGACTGTAAAAAAAAAAAAAAGACAGATGTGACAGAGGTGGGTTGCACAGCCAACTGCAGGGAAGCATGGAGAAAGCAATCCGTTAAGGAATCTAAGGAAATGGGAAGTCGCCTCTGCACATGTCACTCAGGGAAAATGATGCCACTTCTTCTGGTACAATCTTGTCTTCCTGTCCTATGGGGAGTTGATGGATCCATGACATGGGGAAAGATGAGATGACCCTCCTGCAGAACCAGCCCTGAGGTCACCACAGCCCCAACCTCTCACGCCACCACCCCAGTCACAGATCAGCTGTGTCCACTCTCAGAGATGTTCCAGGCAATATGTCATCAGTGACACATTGCTGCTCTGAGCTTCATCTCGGCATCCCGTTCTTCTCTGCATCCCATTCTTCTCGGCTTGTCAGTGGCTTCAACTCTTTTATTAAATGCCAGTCTACCATTGAGAGGTTAGACTCTGTCAGCTTAATTACTCTTTCAAGAATAACTGTTTCAGTTACTGTTCCACTGCACATCAGAAGCCATCGGTCCCCTGCCTGTACAGCTGCCTTTGAAGAAAGGGGCACTGTACCTTTTCCAGATTGCAAAGGCCACTTCAGGGATGGTGCCATATGGTCCTGGCCTCAGAGGATGCCTGTTGCTAAAGCCACAACCACAAGCCAAGAAGAATGGACAGCTGAATTTCAAAAACATCAACCATTTCCAGAATTTAAAATCCTGAATCATGATAGGACACTATTGGAATTCAGGTGTTTCTGGTACATGAACTACTCTTACCGAATGTGAGGTCGAACTGTAGGCCATGTGTACATCTCACTTCACAGTTGAGTCTGTCAGATATGCTAAGCCTATAGGCTGAAGATGATGCCCCAATGTTGTGGAGAAATCTCGGTGACTGTCCAGGCAGTTGGCTGTTTCTGTCAACTCACATTTTTTTGGAAGCTGCTTACATGCACTTCCTGGTTTTTGTTTTTTGTTTTGTTTTGTTTTATTTATTTATTTATTTTTTTATTATTATTATTTTGCAATACAGTTCAGTTCTACATATCAGCCACGGATTCCCTTGTTCACCCCCCTCCCCCCCCCTCACCTTCCCCCCAGCCCACCCCCATTCCCATCTCCTCCAGGGCAAAGCCTTCCCCACAGACTGAGATCAACCTGGTAGACTCAGTCCAGGTAGGTCCAGTCCCCTCCTCCCAGGATGAGCCAAGCAATCCTGCATAGGCCCCAGGTTTCAAACAGCCAACTCATGCAGTGAGCACAGGACCCAGTCCCACTGCCTGGATGCCTCCCAAACAGATCAGGCCAATCAACTGTCTCACCCACTCAGAGGGCCTGATCCAGTTGGTGACCCCTCAGTCATTGGTTCATAGTTCATCTTGGGGGAGCGGGAGATCCCAGCTGGATCATCAACAGAGAGGGAGAACAAGGAATAGGAGACCATGGTAAGTGAAGACCACATGAGAATAGGAAGAAGCAAAGTGCTAGAGAGGCCCACAGAAATCCACAAAGACACCCCCACAACAGACTGCTGGCAATGGTCGAGAGACAGCCCGAACTGACCTACTCTGGTGATGGGATGGCCAAACACCCTAATTGTCGTGCTAGAAACCTCATCCAACTACTGAGGGATCTGGATGCAGAGATCCATGACTAGGCCCCGGGTGGATCTCTGGGAGTCCAATTAGCGAGAATGAGGAGGGTTTATATGAGGGAGAATAGTTGAGACCAAGGTTGGATAAAGCACAGGGACAAATAGCCAAACGAATGGAAACTTCCTGGTTTTTTAGGTAATATAATTTCCTTCTGGGGTCTCTGAGGGCATTGAAGATTACATAGTTATAGTTATAGCAAGTTGAAGATTACATAGTTATAGTTATAGTTTTCCTTGTTAAGAATTTCACAAAAGAAACTCACTAAGATGTGTTAAGTGTATAAATTTGGAATACATTATAAGATAGTTCTCTGTTAGTAATACAAGTTAGAATATAAAGTGAATCAGGTACATTTTGGACTTACCAACATATGATAGATAATGGAATATTTTCTCTGAGTTCGTCAAATGCAAATGGACTAGACATGGTTTAGGTATTTATTGCTTGTATATATTGTATATAGTTAATGTACTTATTGTATATAGTTTTTCTTACATTAGTTATAACTTTTTCTAATCTTTTTTCTTTTTATTAGAATAATACGGGAAAGGTGGTGATATTTTAATTGTGCTGAAATATGATTTTATTTGTATGTTAATAAATAAAGTTTGCCTGGAGATCAGAGGTCATTAGTGAGCCAGGAACAGAATTCAGGTGGTGGTAGCCCACGCCCTTAATCCAATCACATGGCAGGCAGAGTCTCTGTGTGGTCAAGGACACAACCAAGCGTGGTGACCCTTGAGTCTTTAATCCCAGTACCAACCATAGCGACCAGGAGGTCTGTATAGACAGGCAGTGATGAGGAAGTCATGTGGCTGGGCTTAGATCCAATGAGAAGGCAGAACGAGAAAGCAGTAAAAGACAACACACACAGGAAGAAGGTCTCTCTCTCAGGGGAAGGATGACAGCTATTGGTAAGCTAAAGGGAGTCGTGGCTCTTGCTCTGATCGCTTAGGCTTTAACTCTGTATTTGGCTCTGTGTTTCTTTTAATAAGACTGTTTAGAATTTCATCTACAGTCAATTGCATATCTTCCTGGCAAAAATGGGATCTGGGCTCAAGGGCATGGCTATCCTGTCAGTGACCACAAGGAAGGATGTTCTGCAATGTGGGAAGGAAGAAGGCAGAATCATGAAGGAAGTTGCTGGTCACAAGGAGGTGGAGATGGGGAGGTCCTCCTCCATCTGTCCTCCACATGAGAAGACTCAGGGGTTGTGTGCCCCTTTACCCCGATTCTTCCTGACTCCTGAGCACCCCAGTGTCCCTGCACAGGGCTCCTATCCTTCCCCATGGCTCTTCTGGTCTCACTTCTTGGAGGGAATCAGGCCATGACTTGGATCCTGCTTCTGCTGCTGTCAGCTGCATGTCTGCAAGCTGGTGAGTTTGGGGACCTTGTTAGCAGGGAGTCTGCCTTAACCACAGGAGGGGCCAGTGGGGCTGGGAAGAGCAGGCTGTCATGTGGACAGGTGTCTGCTAGAGGAGCCAGAGAGATAGACTGTCCTGAGAGAGAGCTCATCCTCAGAGTGTGTCCAGTCCAACCCTTCCTTGTCTGTCCTGTCCCATATGGGACAGTGGGACATAAGGACAGTCCTGCCTTGTGGCCCACACCTGCCTGTGGGTCAAGGGTCAGGAAGCTCTGAGTCATCCTTTCCATTCTCTGCAGAGACTTCAGATTCTCCCATCCTTCCCAGGTCACTCACCAGGATCCAAGAAAAAAAGTACCTTTGGAGTCAACCAATCAGCAAACCTCTCTGGTGTCCAAGGCGGCTCCATCGAGATCCCCTTCTCCTTCTCCTTCCCCTGGGAGATGGCACAGAATCCACAGATGAGGATTCTCTGGAAATGGCAACACCTCCTTGGTGAATTTATCTACAACTCCTCCTCAGGTTACACACATGAGCATTTCAAGAACCGGCTCATCCTGAACTGGACACAGCCTCAGACATCTGGAGTCCTGAGAATCCTGAACTTGAAGGAGAAGGACCAGACAAAGTACTTCTGCCAAGTTCAACTGAACACAACAGAAGGCATGAAGGCTTTGCAGTCAATTGAAGGGACCCAGCTGACCGTCACACATGGTGAGCCACCCTGGCTCTGACTTTGATGCTTCTGGCTTCCTTGTCCCTTAGATGTCCCCTCAGGCTCCATGACTCTGAGCTTTCTTTTAGATTCCTTTCCCTTGGCTCTGTCCATGCCTCTGCCAACAGATCTTTCCCTTGTTGTTGTGACAAGTCTTTCCTGCCTCCTCTGACCTTGTCTGTCATTTTCTTCTAAGATGGAACCCTATGCCCTCTCTAGGATTCAGCCTGCCCCCCCCCCCAGTCAATTTACCCCGTACCTGTCCCAAACTAACACTGCAGGTCAGGCCACTTCTCCAGGACCTCAACTGAGTGACTTCTCCAGGATGTAACTGACTCACTTGGTCCTGTGGCAGGGCTCCCCTGAGTCCCTGTATGGAGCATCTCCACACAGCTCCAAACTAAGCCCAGAACAAACAGCAAGTGCCCATTGGATGTTCTTGGAGTCCTCTGGTCCACGTGTAAACTGCCACCTGTCCCCACAGCCCCCCATTTTCCCTCCTAGCTCCTCAGCACACTTTCTACCCAACTCCCTGTCTCCTCCACTTTCACAACCCCCCCTCTCCTTCCTTACCCTCTTACCCTCACCTCTCCCACACAAGCTCCAAGGCTCTTGGGAAATAATGTCCCCATTTTCATGATGTGGCTGCTCTGTCTTCTGATCCCTGCCTCTCCTCTGCAGCAGAAGTAACTGCAGTCCCATGCACAGGGAACACTGAGGTCTAGCCTCGTCACTCTGTGACTGTTATACCTGTGCTCTTCACATGGCCCTGCAGCTGCTGGGAGACTCTGTGCTTAGTTGTTGATCACAGTCTTGCTCTGTGGCTTTTTTTTATATTTTAGTATTTTAGTTTTTATAATACAGGGCCTCACCATTTAGTCCTGGTTATTCTGGAACTCACAAAAATCTACCTGCTTCTGCCTCCCAAGTGCTGAGATTAGAGTCAGCTGCCACCACATCCAGCAGTGGCTCTTGACTGGATTAAAGCCACCCTGTGAGAGGACGCCCACAGCACAGTTCTCTGCACAGTCTCTATGACCACCCTGTTGACCTGATTTAACGTCAACCGGCAGCTGCCAGGGCTCCAGGAAGGGAGAGAAAGAAGAGGTTTCTCTGGTCTAGAGTAGTGATTCTCAACCTTCCTAATGCAGAGACTTTTTAATACAGTTCCTCATGTTGTAATGACCACCCTTCACCATAAAATTATTTTCATTCCTCTTTCATAAATGTGATTTTGATATTGTTATGAATCATACTGTAAATATCTGATATGCAAGATGTCTTATATTCACCACTATGGGGACAGCGAACAACAGGTTAGGAACTGTTGGTCTAGTGTTTCAAAATAGGTAACTTATGGGAATTAATAACAGTGATGTTTGTAGAGCAAATGATGTACTCTGTCCTGCATTGAACTGTACACTTCTGGCTAAAATTATGTATTTTCTGTTATATATTTTTATGTATTCTCTGTGTGTGAACATGTAAGTCTGTTACTCCAGGTGTGTGTGTGTGTGTGTGTGTGTGTGTGTGTGTGTGTGTGTGTGTGTTAATGTTCATATTTCTTCACGTGCATATGTAGGCCAGAGGACAACTTCAGGTGTCCTTCCCTTATTTTGAGACAGGGTCTCTCACTAGTTTCAAGTGCTGGGATTACAGCTCACTAGCCCTCTTTGGTGTGAAACTCTGCACATAGATGAGTCTGGCTTTGAACTCACAAAGATCTCCTGCCTCTGCCCCTAGGGCTAAGATTAAAGGCCATGACAAGTTCATCCAGCTCTCTACATGACTACTAGGGATGGAACTCGGGTTCTAAGGCAACAACCAGCCAACGCTCTGTGGACTGAGACATGTCTGCATGTTACCTACATCTGTGAAAAAAACAACTGTATTTCTATGGCATAATTATCTGTGACCAGATGACCATCTGAGGACCCACCTCCAGGACAGGTGGAAAGTGTGCATTCGAACTTGCTCTCCTGGAGTCTCAGCCTTCAGCATGTATTCCCTCTCTGTGAAATTCTAACAGCTGTTCCCTATCCCACATCCCACAGAGGAGACAAGGTGTGACACTCACCCCATCCCTCCCTCATGCAGGGGGATCTGCTCACTTCTCATCTCTCCCCAGCCATCAGCACCACCATGCAGAGCCCCTCCATCGTCACCTCTACAGTCACCACAGCTGGCCTGGAGGACACAGAGGACCAGAGAAATCCTTCACTTGTGAACCTGGGAGCCACGGTCGGGGTGGTGGTGGCCACGGCTGTGCTCATAACCCCTGTCTATGTGTTGATGGTCTTCCTCTGGTGGAAGCAAAGGTAAATGGTCCTGGACAGGCCCTCACCTGAGCTTACCCTCTGAGTTTTCTCAGCTGTGGGACATGGAGAAAGGTAAAGATGTGCAGGGAAAAGTAAAGAGAACAGAAGAACAGGAATGTGACTTAATTAAACAGGGACTGAATTGTCTCCTACTTTCTTTAGAGACCAGCTGGATCAGGTGTAGATGAACACAGAGCCTGCTCCTAAGGATATCAAGTGAATATGGGGATGTCTCAGACCATGCAGGTCAATGACCAAGGTGGTTCTCTGCCATCCGCATGTGTGTGCATGTATGCAATTATACAAACATATACATATATATATATACATATATATACATACAGTCCAAAAACAAATTTTTAAAAAATTTAAGGAAGTACTAAAAAAAGTAAGGATATTTGCATAATGGAAAATGTATACTCTAAGTCCTTACACTGAAAAAGAATATAGAAATCAATGCAATCCCTATTCAATTCCTATTGCATTTATGTAAAGACAAATTACTTGTCTTCCAGCTTTCTTAAGGATTCTGAGAAACAAATATGGGGACAAGCTGGGAACATCTCTAAACTCAGCATTTGGGAAATAGAGACAAGAGGATCCAGAGTTGAAGGCCATCTGCAGATACAGAGAAAGTTGCAGGTTAACCTGAGCTCGTTGAGACCTTGTGCTCACACAAAACAAGAGCCAAGTGTGGACTGTGTTCAGAGCAGATTTAAAGCCATGGTGACTAGAAGACTGCAGGATAGGAACAGAGATGAGCAGAGAGTGGAATGTAATAGAGAGAGCAGAACTAATGTTTGAAGATGTGGCCCCTGGTCTTCAGAAGAGCTCAACCCTCCAATAGGTAAGAGGAGCATCTGAGAGCTGGAGAGCAGCAGCCTGAGAGGTAGCAGAAGTCTGACTGGGATTCGACCCCTGAGACTGAATCTGCAGGGTGGCAGCAGCCTGCACTCACAGGGAAAGCTAGAGAGCCAGTTTCCAGGGAGACAAAAGGGAGGCTTGGTGAGTGCAGAGCAGGGAAAGCAGGGAGGAGACATGGGGTCAAGGCAGGGGAAGGAAGCAGAGGGAGAAGGACATGGACAAGGGACAAAGGAGAGCTGTCCTCTGATTGGCTGTGCTGTGCAGAAGGACAGCTGAGGACTGTCCTCAGGACCTGGTGACTCTCAGAGCTGTCCCTGAATGGCTGCTACAGAGCTGTTTGCTGCCCTGGGCTCCTAACGTTGTCTGAACACAGAGAAGAGCTGAGAGGCAGATGGAGGATCAGCATGACTGCCACACTGACACTGTTTCTTCTCCTACAGGCCAGCAGACTAAAGATGAACCCCAGCCAGGGGAAAGCCTGTCATCCCAAGGAGCAGGTGAGGGGCTGTGTGGTGGTTTGAAAAAAAATGGCCTTCATAGACTCAAGGATTTGTATGTTTTGTCATCATGCTGTGAAAGTTAGGATGTGTGTGCTTGTTGGAGGAAGTGGGTCACTTGGGGTGGGCTTTCTCATTTCAAATGCTCTAGCCAGGAACAATGTCCCCCTCTCTCTTCCTGCTGCCAGCCTATCTGGATGATGAATGCTCAGCTACCTGCCCAGCACCATGTATACCCCCAACCTTCCAACCATAATGATAATCAACTAAACCTTTGACACTGTAAGCCAACCCCAATTAAATGTTTTCTTTATAAGACTTGCCGAGGTGGTGGTGTCTACTCACAGCAATGGAACATTGATTAAGACAGGCTGTTTGGGGAATTTTTTTTATGAGAGGCATGCAAGCGAGCTGGAGAGATAATTCTGTCAGAAAAGCCTTGCACACAGGCTGGAGGACCTGAGTTTGATTGGGAGCACCCACATTATAAGCCAGGGAGGTGATGGGCATTTGTAATCTCATCCCTGGAAAAGCAAGAGACAGCTAGAGTCATGGAGCTGTCTGTCCAGCTAATCTAGTCTAATTGCTGAGTTCTAAAACAATGAGAGACCATGTCAGAAAAAATAATGTGGATTCCTAAAGGGGATAAATGATGGTCATAACATTTTCCAAATTTATTTTAAAACAAGTATTTCCCAATTACATATTAATGGACAGAAGAAAAGTAGGAACAGCTAGATAGCTCGGTGGGAAAAGGTGTTTGCAGCCTAGCCCAGTCACCTGCGTTCAATCTGGGAACCCAAACGGTGCAAGGATGAAACTGACTCTGGAAAATTGTCCTCTCCTTCTCAGAGACAAACATTGTCTGTCAGTCCCCAGATACTAGACCTCCAGGGACCAGGATCTCTCACCAGGGAGGTCAGTTTACATCAAAGTAGGGATTGATGACCACACATCCTGCATCTCACTGGATTCCCTACCTCCTGACTGGGAATCCGAGAACATGACTGCAGGTTCGTGCTGTAAAACATCCGTCCTTGGACAGGTACAAGAAGAAAAGCCAAGCTTTTGCCGTGTGGGCTCTGATTTCCTCTTTTCAGATCATCTAGTCTTTCTCTGGTCCTGAGAGCACATCTATTCTGTTCCTGTCTGTCCATGGAGTTAATAACACTTTTTAACAAATGTTGCACTGTGTATAGACTTGAACCTTTGCTGAGTCTGTGAAGAAACTGCTCCCAACACCACGAGACTAGTTGAAGACAGGAGGGGTCATTGAGAAGTGACCCAGGCTTCTCCTGGCTGAAGTGAAGTCTCCTAGGACAGCTGTGAAATGTCTGCAGTGGCGTAACTGGATCCAAGCCTCCTGAGGCTGAACTCAGCAGCAGCCATGGTCACAGTGATCTTGACAGCTGGGGTGGTGTCTCCTCTGAGCATCCCTGGGGTGTTCACACGAGCAGGCTGCAGGATGATGGTCTGGCCAGTCATCTAAGGGAGTATCCGTTCATCATCTCCTCCTTCCAGGTAGCTGGTGAGAGAGATGCACCTCATGAATGATACTCCAGTGGTCATGTGACTTGCCATGTCAGTTTCCATTGTTCAAAAGGGAGAAACAGCAAAGGAGCCCACAGCAAAGACTTCACAGCACCAACATTCTCTACAAAGTTTAGGTCAAATCCCCTCAGGGTAAAGGAACATTACTGTTGGAATGGGGAGCAGACATGGCTTCTAGCATGGCTACCAGTGTTGGGGATTTGTGTTCCCTGGCCTGAGCCAGTCAATTAAAAGAAGTACTAGAGGAAGCCAGGAATGGTGGAATATGCCTGTAATCCAATGATTGACAGTAGAGATAGCAAGACCATGAACTGGAGGCTGTCATTAGTAACTATTGAGTGTGAGGTTAGCCTAGGCACATGAAACACTGTCTCAATTTTGTCCCTTTGTGTCCCTTTGTCTCCTGCTGGAGATAGAACCCAGTGTTCTGTACGTGCCAAGCAGGTAAGCACTCTACCAGATGAACCTTGTCTTTATGCTCAGTCAGGTCTGAGAGAAGATCCTCCTGGTCATGACTACTCACCTCCAGGCTTCTTCTGTCCTTGCCTTACAGTCTGAGGTCTGTGGGTAAAAGGTCACTGGATTGCTAACTCTCTGCAAGAAAGGCTGGGCCTGACGAGGCTGCCATATGTCAGGTGTTGGACCCCAGCATTTTTATTCAACAGGCTCTGTTGGTCCATTAGGATCTCAACTGCCCCTTGTGCTCAGCCTCACTGGCTGCCAACTGCTGGATCCTTACTCCAAAGTCATGGACTCAGTTGGAGTTTCAAGTCCTTAGTTGAATCACCATAGGAACCCCGCTGTGGATATTTTTTATGTCCAGGATGCTGTAATCAGTCTCCTGCAGTGCCAACCCCATTTCCCCCAACAGTAGTGACTGGGCTCTGCAGCCATGATGCTTTCCCAGGGAAGGAGCACTTTCTGTGGAAGAGCAGCTGGGGCTGTGGTGTGCACACCTGGGTCTTCTGCACACACATGACCATGGGTGTGTCAGACAGCAGTGTGAGAACCGGCTGCTGCACAGGATGTAGCATGTGTGTGTCCTGCCCCCACAGAATAAAAAAATAATTTTAAAAATTTAAAGCATGTTGGGCTAGGCATGGTGTTGTATGCCTTTAATTCTAACTTTGAGAGACAGAGTCACAGGCAAGTGGATCTCTGTGAGTTTGAGGCTAGACTGGTCTATATGTCCTGTTCCAGGCCAGCAATGGCTACATAGACCTTGTCTCAAAAGACAAACAAACAAACCAAAAAAAATAAACAAACAAAAAACCAAACCCCCCAAATCTAAAAAAAGAAACAAAAACCAAATTAAACAACAAAAACCTAAAACAAACAATTAAATAAACAAACAAAAAACCTGAGATGGATAGTGACTTGAGTAGTAATGCTGGATGTTGTCCTCTGGCCTCCATATACATGAGCACACACTCACTTGCACACACAGGCACCTGCACGCAGACACACACAATCACACAAGGCACCTTTCACAGCTGATCTGCCACCACATGTTTACCCAGTCCTCATCCTGAGTACACATGGCCTCCCAGGCCTGACTCTGTGACTCTTCAGACTCCAGTTCCTGATGGTGTCCTCAGCATTCAGACTCTGATTTTATACCCAGCTGTGTTTTCCCATGACAGAGGTGGAGGAGAACAGGCTCAACCCTTCCTATTTCTGTCAGAACCATCCAGTTCCAGAAACTTTCCTCAAATAACGCACAGTGAAGGCCCTGTGGGCCCTGACACAGCAGATAATCTCAATGATGAAAACTATCCAACTCTCCACCCTTCCTGTCACTCCTTGATTTCATTTCCCCAGGGACAAGATACACACCCCAGATGGAGCCCCAGACTAGCTCACCCAGACTGGGTCCTGAGGAGAGTGGAGGAGATGTTAGAGAGGTTGGAAGGATGGCAGCTGGTGGTGTAGATAGGACACTCAGGCTGCACCTAAGACTTTACATTAGCACAGTTGCCCCGCCCCCATCTCACCTCTTCTTTCTCCCCCAGGATGACATCATCATCTTCATCTCCTCATGTGCTGCCAACCTCAGCATGAGCACTTTCTGTACCCCTGCCCAGGGGAGCCCCAAGAAGAGACTCTATAGTGTCCTAAAGGCCCAGTGAGTGGGGATGGGTGACCAGCTCAGTCTCCTACTCCTCTGGTAGGAACTTTCCCAGCTTCTGCAGATAGCCAAGGCCAATGGCAGAAACTCCCGGGTCACTGAATTTGAGGTCACAGAAACAGAGAAACTATCATTTTCCTCTTCAACATATATGCTGCTTAAATGAAACTATTAATAGTCACAAAATTTGTTTGAGTCTGAAGAAAATACTGGTGACATCTTCAAGTATCTGCAACCAAAGTGAAGTAACAGATGACCTGCCTCCATGACCTGGCTGACTCTTTGGAGTTTTGGTTATCTTGGCTATTTGTTGGGTTACATGAGACCACATTCAATAAAGGTTAGGGGGGCCCTTCTGACAGATTCAATAGGCCCCAATACCCTCTCCTGACTGGGCCCAACTCATCCCAAAGGTTCTGTGTCTCTGCATCTCCAAAAACAGGATGGATGGATATAGAAATGAGTCCATGTGCTGCTGGGAGTGAGGCCATAAGTGTTTGAGCCTGGCTCAGGTCAAGAAATGAGAGGACCATGGGAACTGTGGGGACTGTGAGGAAGGCAGAGACAGCAGATGTGACAGAGGCGACTGCATAGTCACCTGAGGGAAGCATGGAGAAGGCAATCAGTGCAGGAATCTAAGGAAATGGGAAGTCGCCTCTGCACGTCACTCAGGGAGAATGATGCCACTTCCTCTGCTACAATCTTGTCCTCCACAGAACTCATGGAATCATGTCATGAAGAAAGGTAGGATGACCCTCCTACAGAACCATACCTGAGGTCACCACAGCCTTTGCCCCCAACCCTCACATCTCCACCCTAGTCACGGAGCAGTGTGTCCACTGTCAGAGACGTCCCAGGCAACATGTCATGAGTGACACATTGCTGCTGTGAGCCTTCTTTGCCCAGTTCATCCAAAGAAGGTTCTAGAACAGCCACAGCTAAAGGGAGTCACTCAAGCGCTTTGTGGGAACAGCCTCCTGGGAGCCTAGCAGCTGATCCCTGACCTTTGAGGGGAGTGCAGAGGATGCATGGAGCAGGCAGGCTGAAGTCTGTGTGGAGTGGAGGACTACAAGTACTTGATGGGATGAAGTCCAGTCAACCATGCATGTGACAGTCATGTGACATGTGCCAGGGCTTCTCTGATCCTTGGCATCCTCTTCTGAGTTGTGGGAAGGTTGGTGCGATGTAGAAAGTCTCCTTCAGAAACTGGAGTACCTTTGGAGTCACTGTCTAGGGGAGGGAGACGACCACCCAGGAAGCCCAGGGTAGTTACAGACTCGGCAGCAGCGAGCAGGCCAGGGTGAGAGTGTCCTCTGGGCCTTGGTTCTGCTGGATGCTGTGAAGAGTCCCTGAAGGACAAGAAGAGGACAAAGAGCAGATGGTGGTGGGGACACCGAGCTAGGGCTGGGACGGAATGTATTTCTTCATCACCTCCATCCTCGCTGTGTCTGAAGTGAGCAGAAACTGACCACTTCTGTGCCTGAGGTTATTAGAGAGAGGGGGAGACAGACAGACAGACAGACAGACAGACAGACAGACAACCAGCATGGTGAGAGACACAATGAGAAACAGATGATGATGAGGAGGGCAGGAGTGGAGGAAATCTGGAGGTGAGGAACCAGTGATTACAGGCCACATGGGAAATGGACAAGACTGGATAAGACAGTAGGTCAAGGTGGAAGAGAGGAGAGCCCGGCATGGTGAGGTCAGTTCCATATCTTCCTGTCAAAAACGGGGCCTGGGCTCAAGGGAATGGCCATCCTGTCAGGGACCACTGGGCGGATCTTCTGCAGCGTGGGAAGGAAGAACCCAGAATGATGAAGGAAGTTGCTGGTCACAAGGAGGTGGAGGTGGGGAGGTCCTGCCCCACTCTGTCCTCCACATGAGAAGCCCCTGTGGATGACGGTCATTTTAACCCAGTTCTCTCCTGACTCCTGAGCACCCCAATGTCTCTCACAGGTCCTCCTCTTCTGCCTGATGGCTCTGCTGGTCTCACTTCTTGGAGGGAATCAGGCCATGGCTGGGATCCTGCTTCTGCTGCTGTCAGCTGCATGTCTGCAAGCTGGTGAGTTTGGGGACCTTGTTAGCAGGGACTCTGCCCTAACCACAGGAGGGGCCAGTGGGGCTGGGAAGAGCAGGCTGTCATGTGGACAGGTGTCTGCTAGAGGAGCCAGCCAGTCCTCTGTGCCCCAAGACAGAGCTCATCCTAAGAGTGGGACCATCCCAACCCTTCCTTGTCTGTCCTGTCCCATATGGGACAGTGGGACCTAAGATCAGTCCTGCCCTGTGTCCCACAGCTGCCTGCATTGATGACTCAGGAAGCTCTGGGTTGTCCTTTCCATCCCCTGCAGAGACTTCAGATTCTCCCTCATCCTTCCCAGGTAACTCAGCAAGATGTCACAGGACAAATGCTTTTGGAGTCGACCAGCCAGCACACATCTCTGGTGTCCAGGGCGGCTCCATCGAGATCCCCTTCTCCTTCTACTTCCCCCCGGAGTTGGCAAAGGATCCACAGATGAGGATTCTCTGGAGATGGAAGCACTTCCATGGGAAATTCATCTACAACTCTTCCTAGGGTTACATATATGAACATTTCAAGAACCGGCTCATCCTGAACTGGACACAGCCTCAGACATCTGGAGTCCTCAGAATCCTGAACTTGAAGAAGAAGGACCAGACAGTGTACTTCTGCCGAGTTCAACTGAGCATAAAAAACTGCACGGAGATGTGGCAGTCAATCAGTGGGACGCAACTCACCATCACCCATGGTGAGCACATCCCAGGTCAGGCCCTGGTGGCCCTGGCTTCTTATTATAAAGATACCATACATGTCATTAGCGATCCTACACTTCTGTTTCTTCCCTCAGATTCCTCTCATGTGTTCTGTCCCCTCCCCAGAGCTCTGACAACTCCACCTTTCCTCTTCCCCACAATCATCCACAAGCCTTAGTTGCTCTCTCTGAGCTGCCCCTCATTGGCCTCAGATCCACCTCACCCCCAGCCTCAGCTCTTCCCAGATGGCCCAGTCTCCTGCTCCTTTCTCCAAACTGACTACCGCCCTGCCCACCCCACCCTCGTTGACACAAATCCACGTGGATCTGACCTCTCCAGGACAGAGCGGCCTTCACCTGGTCCCGTGTCAGGGTCTCCGTTAGATCTAGACTTTACACCATATCTCGTGCCTTCCACAGTAGGTGCCTTCTGGTCACGTGAACCCCTCCTCCTCTGGGTCCCCCCACTTCACCAGTCTCTAGACACATCCCTCACCTCTCCCTGCCCCAGTTTCTTTTCTACTTCCTCATTTCCCTCTTCCTCTCCTTCCTCCCCATCCCCATCTTTCCCACACAGACCCTCATGTTCTCACCATGATCAGGTTCTCTGGTCACTTCTCCTCCTCCATGGCAGCTGTAACTGCAGCTTCCACACAGAGTGCACACAGGCCCAGCCTAGTCACTGTGTGGACATTACCCCGGCCACCCGTCACCACTGCTGGGCACTCTTGTGGTCATTATACAGAGAGACACAGACACCAGCAGAATTCAACACCTGCCCAAGGTCATGCTGGTGAGGAACAGGCCTCAGACGGGACCCTTTACCTCCAAGCATCTCTGTCAGTAAACACATGGCCTCTGTGGAGTTCACGCTGTTGCTTGCCTTTTCTTTTATCTTGATTTTCTAGAACATGTATATATGTTGTACTCAAGTGCACACATATGTGTGCATTTGTGTGTGTGTGTGTATGTGTGTGTGTGTGTGTGTGTGTGTGTGTGTGTGTGTGTGTGTGTACATATATTCCATTTTTGTTCGTGGGAAGGCCAGAAGTGGACATTAGGGTTCCTCCTCTAATAAGACCCACCTTATTCCCTTGAGGCAGGGTCTCTCACTGAACCTGGAGCTCACTGTTTAGGGCTAGGCTGATGGGTTGTAAAGCCCCATTGATCCTCTTGTCTCCCATGGTGTTGCAGTTACAGGTGCTCATGCGTTCTGTCTTAAAAATAAGGTGCATGACATCTGAGGAAGGGAACACTTAAGATTAGCCTCACATGCTGGCGCTGGTAGAGCACACCTTTAATCCCAGCACTCAGGAGACAGAGTCAGGTGGATCTGTGTGAGTTCAAGGCCAGCATGGTCTACTGAGTGATATCCAGGACAGGTTCCAAAACTAAAAGGAGAAACCCTGTTTGGAAAAAACAAAACAAAACAAAAATCAGCCATACACACACACACACACACACACACACACACACACACACACTCATGCGCCATTATGTGTGTGCCAAAAGTTAATAAAAAATACTTTTAAAAAATAAAATATAAAATTAATAGTCAAATAAAAATCACTTATCATTTATTATATCACCAATTCTCAACAGTGCCAGTGATAAATTGGTTTGTCCTTTCCAGGTTAGACCCACCCGCCTCCCCCTGACAAACCACTCCTCATCTTAACCCTGTGCTTGTTCAGAATAAACTCCACAGCCAGAGCTGACAGGCACCTTACACCTGCATTTCCTGTGTCCCCTACATGTTTCCCTAAAGGTTTCTGTTCTTCCACCTCCTCCCTCTTCCTCCTTTCCTAATGTCTCCAGCCTTGGCAATAATCTATTAGGTGCTTGTAGAACAATCAATCTAAGGCAGCCATGCCTTTCTCTGCTTCAGGCAGACACACCATGTTTTTTTTCTTGTCCCCAGGGCCACGTGCACACTAGACAAGGGCTCTGTCATTGACTTACACCTCACCTCCACTATGAGTTCTTCCATCAGAATTTTTTCATCACTAATTTTAAAAATTAATTCATTAACTGAATATTCCTGCCCATTGTTTTTAAAATATTAAAATTAACATTATGAAGGCATTTTTCTTTTTTTTTTCCATTTCTTGAAGACAGAGTCTCATGTGTCCATGCAGGTCTCAAATTTACTGTATAACTAAAGATGGCCTTGAACTCTTTCCCAAGAGCTGGGACCAAAAGGGCATTTCACCACACCTGTATCCATTGC